GATTTAAATACACCTTGTTGGGAAAAGGTTGGTTGTAACTTCCTTTTTCTAGTTTGCGGATTCATATCATGATCTGGTGCAATAGCAACGGTAACTCCGGCTTCAATTGTGTTATTAGCCGTTTTTTTTCTATGCACACTACCTTGCCGATATATCCTTTCACGATACTTCCCAAGTGATGTATTTATAGATTGCTAAAGTTCCAACATTCGTGAAATACATTCTTCCACAGCTTTGGACCCAACAATTTGGGTGGTGGTTTCAGAAGCAGAAGCTTGGGCAGTGGTGGTTTCGCTGACAGTATTTTGGCTAGTGGTGGATTCGGAGGCGGCAATTTTGGCGGTGGCAGCAGCAGTTACAGTAGTGGTGGTGGTGGTGGTTTTGGCGATGGTGGTCTCGGTGGTGGTGGTTTCAGTAGTGGTAGTTTCGGTCGTGGCGGTTTCGGTCGTGGCGGTTTCAGTTGTAGTGGTTTCGGTTGTGGCTTCCTCAACGATATTCCCGGGGGCACCTATTATAAAGAGATAAATAAACGTTTAGTGTTATAATTTTAAAACCTTAATAGTGAGCCCTAAACTATAACTACCCTAACCCTATTCTAACTCTAACCTAACCTAACCCTGTTCAAACGCTACTAACCCTATTATAACTCTTTCCTAACCTAACCCTATTCGAACCCTACTCTATCTAACAATTCTAACCCTACCCTATCTAACAATTCTACTCTAACCCTATTCATTTCAAATTTAACTTAACCCTATTCACTTAACAAGTTAAATGTTAACAAACCAGTTATGCTGGAAGTATCATAGACGCAATGCATCTTCCACCCAAAGAGTGCTTTGTGTGGCGTACAACCATGCGCCGTGTGAACCGTCGAGTTATACGATGCAACAAATACGTCGATTACGTTGATCCAGTCTTTTCGTTGCAGTTGATTATTCTAATCCCAAAGCAACTTAGTGAAACCACGGCCCACAGTCTGATTAAGTCGCTCGATTTGTCCTTGTGACTGTGGATGCCGGGTCGACCATATCTAATTGTAATGTTCAGGGCCCCACAAATTTCTGTAATCATATTTGCAACAAATTCCTTACTGTTATCGCTTTGAAGGACCACAGGAGGCCCGAGGATCTTGAAAACATCTTTAAGGAGATGTGCCGCAACCATTCCTGCTTCCTTATTTTTAATCGGGACTGTGACAAGAAATTTAGAGAACACACAAACACAGGTAAGCAGCCACGAAAAATCGTAATTCTCTTTAGCAAAATCACAGAAATCGACTAAGTCGATTTGAACGTGCTGCCAAGGACCCAGCGACACTACAGATATTACATCAGTTTTTTCTTTGATAGAGGTATTTACAGCACAGGCGGCACATTCGTTTACATATGCTTTTACCTCTTCCTGTGTGATTCCAATGTGTTTTTCTAAAATCGCGGAAAAGGTTTTATGGTATTCGTGGTGATTTGCCTGATCATGAAAGCATTCCAAAATTACAACACACATCTCTATGTCGTACTTGGGAACTATACGGCATTTTCCTGATTTAACTACACCATTCTTTACAACCGGTTTAATGTAAAGAATTCCATTTTCATCAACTTCAAAATTTTTGCAGCGACGAATGAAGTTGGATCTTGCAGTGCTTGCGAGGGGGTTCTTTTGAACACTATCCAGGACAGTTCCTGAACGAAGATATTCAACTATCGTCTTATACTCTTCTGCTGTCTCAGGAATTTTGGGAATTGCCGGCATGTTAAAAAAAAACCAAGTTTTTTTTTTTTTTGTGTGTGGGCATCTATTGCTTCTTGGGTGGGTGGTGTATGTTTTCTTGGGTGGGTGGTGTGTGTTTTCTTGGGTGGGTGGTGCGTGTTCTTGGGTGGGTGTGTGTTCTTGGGTGGATGGGTGGTGGGCTTTTCTTGGGTGGTGGTGGGGCTTTTCTTGGATGGGTGGGTGGTATCGCTTTTCTTGAGTGGGTGGAATAGGTAATTGTTTTTTTTTCTAGATAATCATATTACATGATATCCGGAAACTGTCGGATGTGATGCACGGTCATGGGTCACGTAAATTTCAGCATCATCTAATTTCACGATCATCTGCGACATTTAATTTAGCTTGTTTTTCTTTAATTAAAATTTGCTTAAGTTTAAGTTCTGCTTCACACTCTTTTAAGAACATTTCTCTTTCTTGTAATACAATTTGACATTCTATTTTATCTAAATCTTCTTCTTCAATATTAATAGAAGAATCTTGATTTTTAGATATTACCCAGGGTTTTTTTTACAGTTGCTTTGGATTTTAAATTAGATTTTTCATCAGATTGTCTTTTTTTGGATATTTTTTGAGCTTTGTAATAGAATATATTTAGTTAATTATAAAATAAATTTTACTATAATATAATAAATATAAAAAAAAACTTACTAGATTTTTTAATTGATTTTTTTGTTCTTGATATAATTCTATGATTAGATCTATGCAATGCAATATCACTTTTATTATGAGCTTCAATAAAATGAAAGGTCTTACTATCTTCTAATATAAATAAAATTAATATATTAATTTTTTATATTAAATTAATTAATTAAAATTTATAATTTACCTTTCAATAGCAATTCTTAAATTAAGATTTATTCTATATCTATTAATTTTTGCATGACAACTTTCAGAAACATTTGTATTATTAGAAGTAGAATGCCAAACTTCAAGAGGAATTTGAGAATAAATAGGATTTAATGATGCTAAAACCCAATTTTTGCTATAAAATTCAACTCAATCTAAAAAATTAATTAATTAATTAATTAATTATAAAATTTTAATTAATTTAAATAAATTATAATATTTATTTATCTTGAGTATTTGAATCTAAGTTTGTAATTTGTAAAAAAAGTTTATCAATTTCTTTTTGATTTTCACATTGTATTAAATTATACATTAAATTTTTTACTTCATAACAATAATTATTATTTTTAATATTTTTAAAATAAATAATTTATTAATATAATTAATTAAAAATTAATTAATAAATAAATTTAATTTTATAAAATTTATCTATTAAAATGTTCTTTTTAATTTTTAGTATTATCAATTTCTTCTAAACATAATCCAAGACCTTTAGCTTGACCTTGATCTAAATCACCAATTATACATTTTTATCTAGAGTTATGAATATGATAAAATGTTGGTATTGATTAGTTAATTTTTTAATATAATAAAACAATAATTTGAATATTTTATAATATGCATCAGTATTGCAAATATTAATAAAAACTCTGGCAAATATAAGTGCTATAATAAATAAATAATTAATAATAAATTAAATAAAATAAAAAAATTATTTAATAAATTTAAAATTACTTTGATTATATTGTTCAGAATAATAATTAACTTCAAATTCTTTTATTTCTCCATGTACATGCTTATATGAAAGATCAATTTGAAACTATTCAACTGTTAACTATTGTAAAGCTTGTTGCTTTGACATACAAATAACTACAATGCCACCATTTTCAAAAGTTCTTAAAAATAAATAAATTTATTTTAAATACAACAATTAAAATAAAATATATATAGTATATTATATAATATATTACTAATTTCTTGAAGATAATCTGAAAATTCATTATTTCTTTCCTATATATTATAAACTAAACTTAAAATACCTTGTCCATATGGGTATTTTTTTCTTTGATATTTATTAATAAGATACCTTAAATGATCAATATTGTTTAAAGAACTATGTATTTCAGAAAAATATTCTTTTCCAAATATAGCCTTTAACATATTTTCTAATAATTATAAAATTAATTAAAATTTTAAATTATAAAAATTAAAAATTTAACTAAATATAATTAAAAATATACCTGATAAAATTTTTCTTAAAGTTATATTTTCATATTTATTAGAGACATTTTCCAATAAATAATTAAACTGATTTTGAATACTTGTAGGAATTTTTGCTAGTGGAGGTGGTGAATGATTATGAACTCCACAGCAAATTAAAATCACAAATAGATATTCATTAAGATTATGTGGAATTAATTTTATAAAATTAACTTGACATTGAATATGAATAATTTTTCATAACAACCAATAGTATTATTTTTTCCCGGATGGTAAAACTCTAAATTCAAATAAATTATATTTAAAAATTATAAATTTTATATTAAAATATAGTAACTATTTAAATAAATTTAATACTTATACAGTTTTGTAAACATGATAATGTTGACAAAACAGTTTTACCAGTTTGCAAAATTTTATTATTGACATTCTATAAAAAATATTTAATTAGTTATTTAATAACAATATTATTTAAAATATTATTTTATTTAATTATTTACCTCTTTTCCTTGAAAAAGCTTTTCAAGTAAATAAATATCAACTTGATTTTTATTTAATATGTGAAATATATGTTTTTTATAAGGATTCCACTTCGAACATCTAATAAATTTTGTTATAGAATCACTATCATTTTTTCTTCCTAATTGCCAAATTATAGGATACCCAGAACAACAACTATTATTATATAGACAAGAAATATTTAAGAATGAAAGATATTTGCTATATAAATAAATAAATATATATATATATATATAAAATTAAGTAAGTAATATTTAAAATTTTAAAGTTATATAAAAAATATTACATATGTATATGTTTGAGCTTCTATAGATATTTGTAATTCATTAGGTTAATTTATCATAAAGAAATCTTTGTCTTCATCAACTTCACAATGTGATGAATTTTTAATTTTATTTTCAGTATATTCAAAAATTTTAACACCAGTACATTTGCGAACAACTTTTTTAACATGACAATTTAAATAAGGACAATTAATTTTATTAGAACCTCCTCCACCTTTTATCGAATATTGAATCTAAAAAAAAACTAATGTTAATAATTAATTATTTTAATTGATTAATTACAAAAAAATATATATATATTTACATCATTAAATGGTGCATTATAATCAGATAGATTTATATTAAAAATATAGGCAACTCCTTTGTTAGATATTGTTGGATATTCAATTGGAACAGCTGAAAACCAGGTATCTCTTATGGTAAGTTCTTCTGTAAAATAATTAATTATTGGTATTTCAGAAAACTTCTCATCATCGGTAATATTTTCTATTGATTGTAAATCTTTATCTACATTCTAAATATAAATTCAATCCAGTTAAATTTGTAATTAACTAAAAAAAGCTTCATGCTACATGTAATTTATGATCCAAGATTTCAACGTTACATTGATTTCCAAATCGTCTAGTTCAATAATTAGGAAGTCACTTTCTTTTTCTAAAGAAGAATTGATCGTTAGATCAACTACTCCTTCGCAAAAACTTGTGCTTAAACCTTTTTTTTAATATTATCCATGAAACAGTAAGAGTTTTGTTGTTTATGTAATTAAAAAAAAGTATAATTTGTATTTAATATGGATTATATACATACATATGTATGTATGTATAATATATGTACTGATAGTACGATGATCGCTATACACAAAATCACATGAGTATAGTAAAACATATATACTGATAAAATCAATAATACCATACTCAATAGCTAATTTATATGCATACTCAATATATATATATTCAAAAAAAATAGATTCTGACAATTCTACACCATAATACCAATGTTACTTCACCGTTAGAACCTTACTTCTTCAGAATCTGAAACTAGCAATAGTAAATTTGCAGGGCCCCATCTTCTAGAGAATTGCACAATTTAAATTTTCTACTGACATTGCAGATACAACCGATAGTATTGAAGACAACATTGGTATGAGATTTAGTCCTGAAGATCTTGTCAATACTATTCTAAGCACTGAATTTGAAATTAAATAATTACTGTAGTAAGCGCAGATTATATGTAAATTTTTTGCATTAAATAGCTTTAATATTGAAAAATTTAATAAGAATTTGCATATATGTATTAACAAAATATATAAATTCATGTTTTAGAATGTAAAAAATGTATCTAATAATATTTCTTACTTTACAATATACGAGAATTTACATATTAAGGACAATTAATAAGTCACTCTCATTTTAATAGAGTGACACATTCTACTAGTAAAAATCATTATATTAAAGGTTTATTAATAAGTTCACTATCTGAAAAGTTTTCATACAGATAGATATTGAGTTACAATCACGTCTTGAGTTACGACTATAGATGCTACAAAAAAGCTACGTCATCAATCAAATTTTGCACCTATATTGTTTACTTTTGATCCAATATCTGAATATATAAGGATAGTAGAATGCCGATTTTTGTTCACAAATTTTTATCTTAATAATAAAAAAATAATCCAGATGACCATCAGAATAATTAAAAGGGTAACTTTATTTATTTAGTACAGTACTTGTTGGAACATAACAATTCAGATAAAGATTACCTTAAAAACTAATCCTAATTTCGAGATTTACTAAACAAAAGAATCAAAATTATATTCTTAGCTTTATTTTACTTCTAAATATTTTACTATATACTGTATTTATTAATACAGTAGTACTAGTTAATTGACATGTATTATCCTTAAATTAAGAAATCAGTATCAGTATCTATTTACTAACTAATAAAAAAAAAATTAAAAAAATTCTTGCATCTTTGACAATTTTCAATCTTTAAATTCATAAGTCTATTAGAAATTATTAAAAGATCTTTATGTTCTAGTTCTTTGAATAAGTGCTATATAAAAGTTTTATATGCTGTAACACTATAAGCAATTATTTCAACCTATTTTTATAACAGTTAAAAATGCCTTTCTGCTTTGAGGTCTTTTAATCAAAATGATTAATATAAAAGCCTGAGGGCTTCTATATAAGGTGAAAAATACTCTAGGCAAGAAGATGATAAAGTTAGCCTATTTTCACAAACCGAGTGATAACAAAAAAAATAAAAAAAAAATATTAAAAAAAAAACTTAAGTCCTGAATTATACAGTACTCTTAATGCAAAAGTAAAGATTAGAACTTCAATTCTATTTTTTTAAGACTATCTGGATTCTCTTTCAAATTGAATTCAATCTGGAAAAATTATTGATCGACTAATTAAATTTTGAAGCTGGTAGAAAAAAATTTTTTTAATATATATATACATATTTATATGTTATTTTATTATTATTATTAGATGTTAGGCCCATCATTAAATGACTAGTTAGATTTTAACATCTCTATTACTATACCCTGCGGGATAAAGTTGAATAATCAGAGTTTCTAAAACTTCACGAGAACAATAATTACAACAAAATTACAG